AAAATACTCGGACCCAAAGCCATTGATGAGTATAACCTATTCTTTGGTCACTCTGGTGCAAATTTAAATTTCATTATATTCTTTACTACTACTATTGTTAATAATATTGTCACTATCATCTATTTATTGACTCTTATCCATCCATTCTTCGATAGCTTTTGTGTGCTCTTCCTCGTATTCGTTTTTTGTTTGTAGAAATTTTTCAACGTAATGCCTTTTCCTTCGCGTAATTCGCGGATTTCAGTTGCCATTTGATTAATGAAAAGTTCGAGCCTTTTGTTAAATAAAAAATTTAAAGCTTTTCCACAAATTTTCAGTTTATGATGAATAGCTCACGTTGGCCAATTTGTCTGCTAGTTTTAGGTTTTTCCTTCGGCTCCATTAAATTGATTAATTCATCAGTTTTCTGATTTATAATATGCAGATAATTTGTTAATTTATAATAAAGGAAATATCCAAGGATCAATAATCCAAGAAGAAATTCGCTTATGAGAGCAAACATTTCAAAATAATGAAGACTGTAGGATGGATTTTGTAAAAATCAGTTCGCGAAGCTTTTTCGTTTTTTTATAGCGAATCTTTTTGAGTCACGATATTCTAACTAAACGCATAATAGTAATCGATATGCACGAAGAGAATGGTCTTGCAGTTGTAAAGGAAAAGATAAGTAGTAAGAAGTGTTGTGTTGTTGGGCTGGACGATAAAGAGGACTGGGAAGAACTTGGAGCATCACGTACAGATACCAAAGCATTGTCAGCTTCCTCAGCCGGGCAACGACTTTGTGACTCGGGCGTTGGGGACATAGAGTAGTGTGTACTTGGGTAGAGTAGGTTATTGTTGTGTGTTTAATTCTGTGTTTATTGTGAAACTATGTGTACAGACCTCGAGATTCGAAGTAAATTATCTAAGCGACGTTGTCTCCATCAAAGTACAAGCTTGTTGCTTATCAATTCAATACTTTATTTCAGGGAGAATGCTTAAACATAAAATTGAAGCTGATGCAGAAGTATTCTTCAAGAACATGAAGGAATCACTTTCTCCAAGTGATCTTGCAAAAGCAAAGAATTGGCAACATGAACAAAGTTCGAATGCAATCTATTTGAATCATCGTCCAGCTGATGCTTCTGGAAATCCTGTCAGCCTTCAACATCATATCTTTGCGACTTTCCTCGATGCCTGTGAGACAATAACACCAGAAGATGTTGACTATGCCTTTGTTGGGGCAGCAGCTGAATCAATGTCAATGGTACATGCCAATGAAGACGCAAGAGAGAGGCATTCGAGACGTTGTATCGAGATCACTACAATATCAGCCTTAACCAGTACACAAACAGGAAGATAACAATAGATGGCTCTTCCTTCGGCCATAGTGGTATGCATATGACAAGCACAATCGAAGTAAAACCAGAATTAGGGTCAGGAAACTGCTGTCCTTATATTCAAGCAGGGGTATACTATGCAAAACATGTTGCAAGTCTATCACGTGCCATTGTAGACGAAACTCGTTTACCATGTATCTCACAGGTTAGAATTGAACGTGGTGCACAGTTTTTGTATGTTTGGCATTTCTGAATACTTTCTTTGCCTTTCAGGTTCATATGTTGGCATTGCAGGTATTATCATTTCTGATAATAGACTCCTATGCGATTCTCTGACACCACTCCTTCCCCTGCTCTATCTTCGTCACTATCGACACTTTATGGATCGATTGGCTCGGACATTTTGTGCATTTAAGAAAGCACTAGATGCATTGGATAATTATTACTTAGATCCTCCCAAAATTCTCCTTCACAGTTGAAGTTCCCATATGTTAGCTCATTTCAAACAACAGAAGTATCAAATTTGATTACATCAGCCAACCTTACAAAGACAAATTTACCATTTTATGTTATACAGAAAGATGGCAGCAATAATGTAATGAAACTGCTTGTGAAGTTCACAGAGCGATATTGGAAAAGATGCACACCAAGCCTGTGCAGACTTGGGCATAGCACCTCAACTTACCGTATTCTTCCGAAAATAAGAAACACTTTTTTGTTATAGTGTTGCTTATTTTCGGATGTTGCTTATTTTCAGAACTTATGTAAAACAGGTGTTGCTTATTTTCGGGTGCTGTTTATTTTCCAAAGAATACGGTATCAGTTATGAGAACATTCCAGGAGGATGGCATATGGTTGTTATGGAGGTTTTGGATAATGGTTATGAGTGCTTGTCTCTACAAGAATCTGCAGAAGTCAAAAAAGCTATTAAAGATGCTGTTACTAAGATGCATAATGCAGGATTTGTGCATGGTGATTTGAGGCATCTAAACATCCTCCGTCGAGTAAGAAAGGACAGTGATGATAACAACACTCAAATAGATATTAAGATTGTAGATTATGATTGGGCTGGAAGAATTGAACATGAAACAACAGTCTATCCCTCATTTCTTAATCCTGGAATTAGAAGACATCCTGGTGTTCGTTCTGGATGCCAGATTCAATTTGAGCATGATGATTTTATGATTGCTCTCTTGACAATGTAGAACTGTATGAAATACATTTAGTATATGGGCAAAATGTATATTGTGTAGCAATAGGTTGTTTGTGTTTGAAATTATCAGTAACAGTATTCATAACAAATATCAGAGCATGATAATTGACTTGCCTTATATTGACATGTCATAGTCAACCGAAACAACGGAGCTCATTATGTTTGATGCTAGTATTTATTCACAGCTGAAGTATAATTGACTTTTCAGAATAACTCGCTAAATGACAAAAGAATGTAGTCCTACTTCAATAGAGACATGATAAAACTATATATAGGATTACCTGTATTAGTATATGAAAAACTTTAATTATAACGGTTCCACCGAATATGAAAAAGTAATCTACTTCTTGGAGATAGGTTGCAAATGTGGTTGCTCGAAGAGAGAGAAGTTTGTTGAATTACGTAAAGCATTTCAAGTTCTCTCTAGATCCGAACAAGATATCTTCTTAATGGCCCAGTTGAAAGCAATGAAATAACTGCCAGTCGACGTCTTAAAAAAAACGCGTACTAATAAAAGAACTTTTTATTATTGAGATCGCAATACGCCGCTTTGTCAGAAAACGTATCTCAATATGTTGGGAATTGGTCGCACGCACTTCGAAAACGTTAGAAATCACTTGGCGACGAATGGTATAATACTGCGCGTTCATGGTAATATCAAAAGGAAATGCCACGATGAAAAACCAAAATAACCATTGATTTAAACGTTGCTACTGCCGTGAAGAATTTTCTCGAAAACTACAGTTGACACTGTTTATACCGAACCTATTTATACCGAACCCTGGATATAACGAACAAAAATTGCCAGACCCAATTTTTTATAATTAATAACTCTGGGTATAACGAATTTTATTAGTAAATCTGTTTATAACGG